GAAGATAAGATAATATCATCTACGAGGCCGCGTTTAGCCATTGCTGAAATGCCCACATGTGACGTCACGTAGATGATATTATCTTTGCTTCACCTCGACTCGTGGATTCATATCTACAGGCCGTGTCTATAAGTATATATGGTCTAAGCCGCGCGCCACTAAACGGCTTGCGCGCCGCCCTCACCGCGCCACGAAGCGACAAGCGCGACAAATAAATTGTCTGTTTCCCCGCATTTTTACGTCCCCGTTCCTTGCGAAATTGTGGGTATAAAACCTGGGGCTAAAATCAGCGTGGCAGATCAATTCGATCTCCGAATCTAGCGAGAAGCAGCTGGAGAAGCTCTTCCTTGGTCGGGCAAACCGATAGCGCAACTCAAGATTCGATCCTCTCCGGGAGAATAAGTTTCTTATTTTCCGCCGGATAAACCGGCATCCGTTCCACTCCGCTCCGGGGAATCTTGTATTCTCCGCCGGGTAAACCGGCATTTCTTCCGCTCCGCTCTAGGGGAATCTCGTATTCTCCGTCGGGTAAACCGGCATCCGTTTCGCTCCGCTCCAGGGAAATTTCGTATTCTCCGCCGGGCAGACCGGCATTCCTTTCGCTCCGCTCCGGGAAATCTTGTATTCTCCGCCGGGTAAACCGGCATATTCCTTCCGCTCCGCTCCAGAGTAATCTCGTATTCTTCGCCAAGAAAACTGGCCTCCGTGGCAAGCTGTTCCAGGAGAACGTTATTCTCCCCCGATTAAACGAAGGCGCCGCTCTACGCCTAGCGGAAAAAGTCGACCGTACGCCGGCCTCATATTCGCGTCAGCGAGAAATAAATTTCTGCAAAGAACGATTTAATAATCTGGTAAAAAAGCGAATTTCTCAACCGAAGTCACTTTTCTTTTTCACTTAAATATTATTAAAACTTATTTTTCGAAAACTCATTTTACTAAAACTCGCTTTTCTAAAACTCACTTTTTCAAGATTGCCTTTGTAAAATTTACTTTGTAAATACTTTCTCTCTCTCTCTCTTTTATTTCTTTTTTTGTTTAATAAACACATATTATTCTTTTGTTAAGTCATAAACCGAGTCTACTCTGATTACTTTATCTTAAACAAGCCCTGATCCCGACGAGCTACCCCGCAGCTTTAATAATTAACTAAATAAGACGGAAAAAGCTTCGACAAAAAAGTCAAACCGTTACAATACAAATTGCAACACCTCAATCATGAATAATAAACGGTATAGGCGCTACGCGCCTTTGCTAATATACGTGTGGTCGCTTGTCGAGCGCATTCTAACGAGCTGCTCTCCCTTAACTTGTAGAATACGCAAGCCCATCGCCTCCCGTGCCGGCCGGAATTATTTCCTTGTGACGGACACAGAAAATGTCACGTTAAAATATATATATATATATATATTAAGAGGCACGGTAGTGCCTCGCGCCAAGTATATGCGCAAAACAAAGTGCGCGCGCGCTGCGCGAGGTACCCCGTGCCTCGTATACGCNAAATTTAGCCGAGAGCCTTTTCGAGATTTTCCAATCTCAACAACGGCTAAACCAATCGAGTTCGTAGTAGACTCAATCNAAAGTTAAGATCGAGGCACGAAAAAAAGTATTTCGCGGTTGTTTTCCTCCGTGCCTTTCCAACTGAGATTTCTTGATACAAAGTCCAAAATGCCAAAAAACTAGGTTCTAAGAATTTGTCTACGTCGTCGGACACGGATTTTCGTCAATCACCAGAGTGCGTACATGTAGAACGTGCTCTTCCTCTTGTCGCCGCCAGGTGTCAACAGTTTGTGCACAAGTCAAGGTCTATTGTAGCGTTCAATTTGAGAAGAGAAGTTTACGTATAGAAAATAATATAATACAATATAATACAATAATATATATATATATATATATATATATATATATACTACAAATATAAAAAAAATTCAAAAATATTATCGAGCGTGCTCTCTCGTTATTAAATTTGTTAAATATAAAATAAAAAATATTAAATATAAAATAGATATACTATCCTCTCTATGTTAATTTAGTGATTGGAAAGTTCCCGAAAACGCGATTTTACAATAAAGTTTATGAATAACAAATATACACATTTGATTTATTTTAATATTCTACATTTAATGATACATAGTCTTTTTCGCAAATCGCGGATATCTCAAGAACCAGAAGAGATAACTTGCAACTAATTTTGCAGGTACCTTCAATCGGCTATTCTGCGATTTATGACAAAGAGTGAAAGTTAACAAATTGAATATTTCGAGAACGGTAAAAGTTAGAGCAAAATGGTTTTTACATCTCAGTTCTTATTGGTTAGTTGCAAAATACCACATGGTAAAAGTGTGATAATTTTTATTATTAAAACAATTGATTGTTACTCACTAAAGTTAGAATGTTCGGACTAGGCTAGTATTTTGCAGTTTGTTGCGCTAAGGATTATGGCGCAAACCGTTTTTCTCTATCTCTTTTAGTTTAAAAGTTATTAATTTTGCAACTANCTGTGATATTGCGTAATAGCGACTTAAGGGTGATGACTTTTCGATCTTTTTGTAAGGTTTAATAATAATAAGCTTCAACGATTAATTTTAATACGTGATATGTAAAAACTGCAGTTGGACTGCCGAGATGTTTTTTGTTTGACGTCAATCNAGAAAACATGTTTATGCGTAATCTTTAAACTGTTTATTTTAAGACACCATCATTAAATTTAGTGAAAAAAGAGTTTCAAGTCATACTTTTTAGCAAATATGACAACAAAAAACTTACTTTTTTCACAGAAAGTAAATTTGCTACAGACGAAAACGACTCATGTCCCTCCGTTGAGGGTTAAGAATAAGACACAAATAATTAAGTTATATATAATGCAGTAAAAAGTGTTTGTCAAACCCATTCTACAAAAATGTGTGATATCCGCACAAAATACCTTTTCAAAAAAAGATAAAAAAAGGCGCCAAGTACATGCGCAACTCGTATTTCTAGAGAAAGTATTACTATCAAAATCTTCTACAAGATCTATTCTACAAAAGAAATGATATCAATAAGTTACGCCAAGTAAAATCTTTTATACATGGGTACAAAAACAAAAAATATATAAAACTTTGTAAGTTGTTTATACGTTGTAAAATAGAAAATATTCTAAATCAATAAAAATATTCTAAATCAATAAAATTTCAAATATTGTATGACCACTGCACTTTTTATATAAAGCACTCATTGATGTAAAAAATGATTTTGCCTTGCGTAGAAATACTTAAACTATGTCGAATTATACATATAGATTTCGATTTGTGTAAAATGTCAAAAACTCATGTGGAATGTTTCAAAATAAAAAATATTTAATGTAAAAAAACTTGGCGCGGCTGCACCGAAAACTAAANACGAAGTGAAGTTCAAGTTTCCCCGACTGCATTACAACATGACGAATATTGACGATTTCTGGAANGCTGATTTGATAAAATTGCGAAATTTGCGAAGCTATAACGACGGATATTGCTATCTACTGACAGTTATNGACGTGCTCAGCAAATTCGCGTGGGTGGAACAGTTGCGAGACAAAACAGGTGCTCAAGTTCTTTGCGCGTTTCACTGCGTGCTCTCGAGAAGTAGCGGACAAAGACCCGTATATCGGCAAACCGACAAAAGTAAAGAATTTATCGCGCATCCGTTGCAAAAGTTTATCAATGAAAAAAGAATTTGTTTCCGNGTTGCGCNTAATCCAGACGTTAAAGCAGCCGTGATTGAGCGTTTTAATAGAACGCTACAAGCGCTAGTAGCGCATGTGGCGCTACTTTATGCACAAAAACACAAAACGTTATCTCGATGTCTTGCAGAATATCATGCACGCATANAACCATACTCCTCATTCTTCCATATGTATGAAACCCGCGGATGTTACCACAGAAAACGCGAATATTATCCGCAAAAACACGTGGCATCGCTGGAAAAAACAGCGAGTCAAAGCAAAAGCAGCTAAATACTCTGTCGGCGATCTCGTACGTGTCAGTAGAGCAAAAGCCGCCTTTGAGAAGGGATACACGGCCGATTGGAGCAAAGAAATAATTCGAATTTATCGTGTTCTCGAGTGGCAAAATCCGCGTGTTTCCGAACTGAGTGATTTAGCAGATAAAGTTATAAACAAAATTTTCTACGAGCAAAAACTGTCTCCTGTTGTTAAAAACCTACAAGAAGAAACTTTCATCGTTGATCGGGTGATAAAGAGCAAAAGTCGGGGACGTAATAGGCAACTGCTAGTCAGTTGGCAAGGTTACCCGTTTAAATTTGATTCGTGGATTCCGGCTTTGAGTTTAACAACGCTGTCACAACAACAACAAAGCGACGACACTGATAGCGACAATGATGATGACAATGGAAGAACACTTTTTTGTAATTCTTCCAAGCAATAGCAGTGTTACGTCCTGACCTACGGTTACGATCGGGTCCTAACGGAGGAGCGCAACTTGACACACGACACTTTTGTGTATTATATCTCGGCACACTGACCTAAAGAGATAAGGCAAGCATGCGAGTCGAGCGAGACTGTTCAACGACGTAGTCAAGTCAACGGACTTCCCGATATTACTTGTCTAACGTCTTCTCACTCGTCGGTCCTCTTTTAGGTCTTAGAAACAAATCTAATTTACCTGGGACAGGACCTGGCGATCACGTGATGAGATTACAGGAATGAGTTTTCAGGTTGGATTGTTCAAAAGTTCATTTAATTAGTTAAAACCGTTTCATTTGTATGAGTATATAAATCATTTTTATTCAAAATATTAACATTTAGGTTTATTCAAAAAATATATTCTTACGNAAGTTGAATTAAATAATTGGACGTGTGATGAAGTTTGGTGTGAATTTGAATATACATTGGCATTGTTATTATTTTTAATCCTGGGAGTTTGTTATTAACATTACTGTTAGTATTTTCAATATTTTAAATCCTTATGTAAATGAGCACCGTCACTATTTAGGCTATTACGGGATAGACGGGGGTTGGTATACTTCGGTCCGCTCGCTCGACAGGCAGCGGTTCTCCGCCGCAAAGTTCGGTTTTAGATATCGCGTTGTTAGAATCACGGTTGATTTTTGGTGCGGTATGACAACTACATACGATTTGCTACTGCTCAAAGTTTGACAGTGGTGATCGGAAATCGGCAGCGGTTCAGAACAACTGACGTCGTGAGTTGCTAATCCGATGGAAATGGTAGTCAGCAGCGGCCCGGAACGACACACAAGGTCGTGAGCTGCTAATCTGACGGGAAAAGAAATCGGCAGTTGTTCGGAACGACACAAGGTCGCGAACAGCTAGTCCGACTGAAAGGAAATCGGCAGTTGTTCGGAACGACACAAGATCGCGAACAACTAGTCCGACTAGGATGTCGAGGAGAAGAGCTTACTAAATGAAGCAGTTATTAATTGAATTGTCGAACTTAATCCTTTCTTCCGAATATCAACCGTCTCGAAGTAGGTTTTACTGTGTGCGTGGGAATCTTAGATCGTTTTGCAAAACTATTGCGTTAGTAAGTACTCACTACTTATTGTTTTCGGTAGAATGTATGAATGTTGATTCGCTTCGCCCAAAAGTCAGGAGTCTGTCGGCTGGACTCAGGTGGAATGAATTGGTCGTCTCCTCTGATGGAAGTTGTCACAAGTCGCACTGTTTACTCGGATTTACGTGCCAAGATCGACGTCAAATTAAGAATCGTCTGGATTGTCGAATTTCAGACCGAACAGAAAAAGCAAGTATCTTTTTGTATGATCGAATTGACTCTAAGTTAAATTGTTGAATCGCACGAGAAGAAATAGAACTGTGTTAATAATCGTAATGCTGGTTATGAAGCTCTCTGACTCTCCGGTGTTCCAACGCCTTATATATGATGATCTCGGGGCGTTAACCCTTCTGATTTTTGCCAATCGTCTTTAGATTTTACTCTCCCACTCTTTACTGATTAAAATGTCGATCTTTCATTTGCTAATCCGATCAGGCAAAAGGACCAATCATCGACAATCATTCCTTCTGACTCGTTCAACATTTGTTTAAAGTTTGGTATTTGCACGTGCAATTTCTTGTTCATTTTCGGTGCCCAAACATTCCTTGCTAGAGATTAGCGGACCGCCTAAATTATCTAAGTTTATATTCGTGAACCAAACATCCGGGCTACTTGTTGATTAATTGACCAATACTCACTTGAAAGTCGGTAAGAGTGATTAGATAAAAAATTGCGATACGGATTTTATCTTAGTTCAATAGGTCCTCTGTTCTCTGCTCAAGGATTGTTATTTACAAATTAATTCTAAGGCGCAAATCTTAAAGCTAGTTTATGACTGGTTCCAAACAGACGGGGCCCGTGGAGTCCAGGACGTAACAGCAGTATGCTTTACTTTCCGCACAATACCACCATCGTGTTTTACTACGGAATTACCTCGCCGTATAGATTTGCAGGGAAAATGGAAAGGTGCTCTCACCGAGATTCAGTTTCGTTTTAGTTTTTTACATTTACGCGCGGATGAAGTCCTGATAACGCTTGCGAGTACCTTTCCCAACGGAGATGTTTCGTCAAATAACATTCCAATATCATCAGGAATTTATTCTTCACAAGCTGATCTTATAGAAGCTATAAATCATTTGTGCTCTTGAGAAAAATTGTATATTACATGGTCACTGACTTCGCTATATGGCAATAAAGTTTCTATATCGCTTATGTAAAGAAGACAAATGCAATCAAATTCATAATATAAAGGTTAGCGACAAATTGCGTCGTATACGGATTTTAAACATCCTCTTGTTACGTCCTGGGGACTNCACGGGCCCCTTTTTTTTGCAACGCGCTAACACATAACAAATTTCCCCTCTAGTAATAATAAAAAACAATAAATAATCCGAGCAGACCTCCTATTGTTTAGAGACTTGGACTCCAGACGATAGGAGAGCAAGCATAAATCACACTGGCGCCCAAAAAGATAAACCGCGCCTGGTAATACCCCAAAATTTTAAACTTATTGTTTAAACATCCTAAACAAACCCGGATATCTCCGGGCCAGGAAAAACACCGCTCATAAGAATTAGACCAGCCGGAGCAAATAGAACTCCGGCGCCACGAGCAATTTTCTTATAAGCAAATAGCAAAAAATCTAGGTGGCGTGATTGAAAACCAACACTCTCCCTTTCCTCTTCTTCGGAAAATTGGACGAGCCGACCGAGCCGAAAGATCGTCGCCGATTGGCGATCTCACGAAGTTTACTCGACCACTAACAAATGGGAACTGGCGAAGCTCGACTGAATTTTCCGATTGGAAGAGTCCTCGCTTACTCAAAATTGTATATAAGCCAGGACTCTCAGAACCAAAGGCAGATAGAGCCGCAGATTTTTGAAGTACCACAGCGAGTGAGTGAGTGACAGTGAGTGCAGAATGTGAGATCCCAGAGTGAACAATTGCGCCGCAGCAGCCTAGAACCTTTTATTAATCAACATCACTGGTCCGCAGCAAGTAGTAAGTCCACATTGTAATTATTTTCATTCGGAGGTTCCACTGTTCGCGTACTTACCTCTCGAAGTTGCGACTACTTTTCGGAGAAATCGAGAAAACGGTCAAAATAAACAAATACACGGACATGCTCAAAAATTCGGTTTAATCGGAAGGGCTACTCACGGTGCATAACCGTTTCGGGTAGCATCCAAATTTTTCGAAAGAGCTACTCACGAAGCATAGCCGTTCCGGGTGGCGTCCAAATTATCGGAAGGGCTACTCGCGGTATATAGCCGTCTCGGGTGGCATCCAAATCTTTTCGGAAGAGCTACTCGCGGTGTATAGCCGTCTCGGGTGGCGTCCGAATTATTTCTTTTTTCTCCCTAAATCACGGAAACAAACAAAACCCGCTTATCTCCGAATATCAGTCTTAGAATCATGACACATCCAAATTTATTCTTATCATTAAATTTATCGGAACCTAAGAAATGAAACTAAACCAAATTTGTCAACTGACATAAAAAAATACATTTCTAAGATGATCTAAGTTGCGTAAACATGGGTTAAAGAGGCTGGCTGCACTAAACAACTCGTATTCTCCCTCTCTTTCACACTTGCATCTTAGCTTATAGATTACTTTGTACGAAACGATTATGCGCTCCGTCATTGTATTAGTTTCAACACACCTGTATGTCAGTAATTTGCTAAGATTTTGATTTGTCTTTTTTTAAATAAATATAACTACATTATAATGTGTGGAATCAAACTAAAGAATTATTCTTTGTTATCCTTCTCTCCGTATTACCCATTCTCACTTCCTCGTTAATATTGCTAGGTCCCGTCTTTGGTAAATGAGATTTGCGTCTCAGACCTAAAAAGGGATCAACGAGTGAGTGTTCGCTAGACAGAGTAAGATCTGCGTACGCCGTTGACCTGTCGACGAATATAAACAAACTCTCTCGACTCTCTCACAACGGGACTTCCGTGTCCACTGTAAAGAGAGATATGGAAAACGACGCGGTTACTGTTGCGTCACACCACAACCCGACTGTATCCATGGGCCAGGACGTAACACTCTGTTAAGACATTTTTCGTAGTAGACAGGGTTGTCNATGTTGATAGTTTTGTACCAATCAGCTTGGCCCGTGCTATCCTCGACGTTATTTGTTTATTGCGATATTTGCGAGCCATACATAANCGGAGATGCGCTAACACCGCTTCTTCGAATAGTTACTAATAATACCACGAATAAGTATTTATATTGCGACAAAATATAAATTTAATTTTAATTAGGGGGGTATTTAGAATCTCTCATATACAAAATGCAAGTATAGCATCCTATATGAATTTTAGAATTGTTATTACAATTCGAATTTCACGTGTAAAAATTTACACGTGAACACGTATATACTACTATGATCAAAAAATAACCAAAATTTTTAATTTAAACCTCGCGGGCTTATCGGTTTAGAATTCTGTTGTTTGTGTCACGTTGGCAGCACTGTTACGGACACCCATGCCAAGCTTCTGCTTTTCTGCTTTTAACGTATTTCTGTTAAAACGCTGGTTAAACCTAAACAGCGTTGTACTTGAAGAAGAAGAACATTTCGATAGTGGCTTTGTTAGCGATGAAATCAGCATGATACAATCTGCAGCTTCATCTTCTGACATCAAAACGGAAGAGGAAGAGAAGAGGAAAGAACAACTAACAGAAAAAGATACGCGCAGTGAAATCGATTGCCCGCCGAAAACCTCTTGCCTAAACAACAAACAGAAGTACAAGAGGAATACACGCACTTAATTCCGCATTCTCGCGACTACTTGTATCGAAATAATGAATACGAAAGAAATATTGCAAGCCTTGCGACAACTGCAAACATCTGGACACACGGGAGTTTATCCAGCCGACAAATTGATCAGGGTGTGGACGAAGTGGA